CAACTAACCAAAGAAGAATGGAGCACACATCTAAACAGATCGCTGTCGTCGGGAACATCTTTCACCGCCAGGGGTTTCCAGGGAGATTACAACCTGGTCGTGTATTATAAAAACAAACCCATCAAGACACAGACTTTCTCTGTGGGGAAAACGGACGCCACGGTCAATGTGCAAATATCTGGAGACGGACGTGAGTATTGTAGGAGACCTTGCTTACTATCTGACAAACTTCATCTAGATCTGGTACTCAATAAGTGAACAACTCCGGTGATACATTTGATGATTAAACTCGTGTTCTTTATTTGATCTGTCACTTGCTTACACTTTCACTCATCTCCCAACTCTGACTTCTCCCTGCTCTCCAGTTCCTAGTCCGTCTGCCTTCTTCCCTATTTATACCTCCCCGTCCCATAGTTCCTCTCCCAGTCCAGATTATACCCCGCCCCTTTTTCTCAATTGTCGGTCTAGACGTCCCAGGTGAATGCCCTGGTCAGATGGATGGTCGTGTCTGGGTGTCAGACGGCCGTAATTGGTCAGGCGTTTGATCCTTGGGTCCGTCGTCGTGCTCCACAAGCTTGATCCTTCGGTCAGACGGATTACGTCAGGCGCCGTCGTGGTCCGGCGCTCGTGCGTGGTCCGACTCTCCACAAGCTTGGGTGGTAAGACGGATTACGTCAGGCGCCGTCGTGGTCCGAATCTCCACAGTATTATAAAATAAACGTATTATTTCCATTTTTTGTTTAAAGATAGTTAATCTTTTATAAATTTGGTGCTTAAAATCAGTGGTTCCCAAACTTCTTTTTTATTCCTGGAGCCCCTTTTTTTCTATGGGGTAGGCTTAGGTCTAACCTATGTCTATCAAGTAAATATATGTGTAACAGCTTCCTAGAGCGGCCGCTGAGCCCATGAAAAGTGTACGGTTAGCCCAAGAGCAGATCCGTTCTTTGGCATAGGAAAACTAGGCGACCGCCTAGGGCACCTATGCAAAAGGGGCCCCACCGTGCTTTTTTTTTTTTAGCCTACAGCTTTCAAGTCCGTATATTTCAGAGTTAAACATTTTCTCTATAGTATCGTAATTATCATTATGGTTAGTGGTTACGCGCGAGCAAAGAGGAAACAGTGATGAAGGCAGAATGGAGGTTCCGCAGTGGTGAGTGATGTTTCTCCTCAGCTCCGGGGGAGCTACGCAGGGCCCCCCCTGGACCCCCCCATCCTTGAAGCCCCCTAAAAATGCTCCATGTCTAGGGCCCCCCAATGTCCTAAGAACGGCTTATCCTACATGTTTCAAACCATTGCCTAAGGTAAAGTTATAGATGAATTTTGGTTTTAGACATAGATAATTTCTTCTTATTACAACATAGATAAATACTCAAATATTTAAAAAATAATATATGCCTTAGAATACTAACTTATATAATGTTAAAATTAATTTTTTTTTCTTTTCTAATACTTGATTACTTTTCCATCACTTTTCATTTCATTTCATACATTTCAAGATGAAATTCAACTCCCTGCAAAGAGTGACCCCTTCGCCAAGGTCGCCGTCGTTCACGAGACCACCAGTCAAGGACTCTGGACCATGGGTCACGCCACGTCCACATCCGGTGCCCACCAGCTGACGTGTACGACCAGGTGGTCGGCCGTATCCGCCCTCGGGGACGACAAAACCGTGGACGTGTCCTGCAATGATAACGAAGTCCTCACAAGCTGCTCCAGTTATCTCAAGGTAAACGTGTCAGACGGGATCAGTGGGAAGGGAAATTTCGTAGGCGGCTAATGAGAAATACCGATGAATTATTGGAAGCGAGTCCCAGCCCGCCCCCCCCCCCTTCCAAACCAAGCACCGGCTGCAGTTTATCATCATGGCCCCCTGCAATGGAGCAGACTGGGTCCTTTCGAAGGGGGGGGGAGGTGAAGGTAGGGGTGACCTAGGAAAACAGCAGAGGTACACGCCTTCCTAACCCTAACCCTAAACCTGGTACATATCGTCCTAACCCGGGTAAACACCTTCCTAACCCTAAAACCAAAACAAGATACACACCTTTCTAACCGTAAACCGGGTACACACCTTTCTAACCCTAAACCGGGTACACACCTTCCTAGCCCTGAGCCTAAACCGGGTAAACACCTTCCCTAAACCTAAACTGGGTACACACATTCCTTACCCTAACCCTAAACCGGATATACACCTGCCTAAACGGGTACACGCCTTCCTAACCATTAACCGGGTACACACCTTCCTAGCCCTAAGCCTAAACCGGGTACACATCTTCCTAACCCTAAGCCTAAACCGGGTACACATCTTCCTAACCCTAAGCCTAAACCGGGTACACATCTTCCTAAGCCTAAACCGGGTACACATCTTCCTAACCCTAAGCCAAAACCGGATGCACAACTTCCTAATCCTTACCACGCAAATAATGTAATGAAATCACTTAGGCAAAACTGTAAGAAGCTAGGGCGTTAGGGAACATAGTTAAATGGAAATAAAGGAGATAACAAATGTACTCATATCATATAACTGAAATAGTTGGTGTTAGTATAACATTCTATTAGTTCTTCTGCTCTCGTGGTGTTAGTATAACATTCTATCAGTGCTTCTGCTCTCGTGGTGTTAGTATAACATTCTATCAGTGCTTCTGCTCTCGTGGTGTTAGTATAACATTCTATCAGTTCTTCTGCTCTCGTGGTGTTAGTATAACATTCTATCAGTTCTTCTGCTCTCTGCTGCGCGGCTTCTGGTACTAGTTCCCGTCAAGCTTGCTCTACGTACGCTGATGATATGGTAGTAATGACTCAAAATAGTAAAGTCAACACAAGCTTTAACTTTCTCCCACATAATTATAAATTATTTTTTCATGACCAGTGGCGTAGCTACGGTTAGTTCCGCCCCGAGGGGGCAAAAGATTTTAGCCGCTCCACGAAAAAAAAAAACCAGCAGTTGGACGAAATTGCCAACCCTCAATATGGAAAAAGTGCAACCCCCGATCAGGGCGAACCGCCCCGTTCCCCTGGTTGTGATGGGTAGAGACTGGGTTGCATCATGTCGGTTGAATTCGATCACGAGCTCATATATTTCAAAGGATCTCTGTCTTTTGTCCGGTATTTCATCCCTCCTATTGAACTATTTTAAAACAGCTCTCCTGAAATCTCCATACTTTCAGAACAACGACTGGGTACATGACGGCGAACAAATTGTCTTCTCAAACGGGAAGCCCGTCTGTAGAGCCATCGAAGGCTGGGGATCGACGATAGGTAAGCCAGAATCATTAACGCTAAATTTAACCAATTCTTACCTAAAAGATGCAGTGCTAATACAAAAAAGGACTATAGGAAGAGAACGTTCACTTGAAACTGGTTACAAGTTTTGTAATAGTCTAGTGTCAGCATCGGCCCGTTCTCGTGAATTGTTAGTGTAGCCTCTTACCTGCACCCTCATCCCACCTCCACCCCTTTGTTCGCGAGCAGACTACAAGTTCGATTCTAGCTCTAGAGTGGCAGTTCCTCAGGTGAACATGAAATGCAAAACAAAAAAAAAAAAAAAAAAAAAAAAAAAAAAAAAAAAAAAAAAAAATATTAGCGCTTCAATTAGTTCAATAGTTCAATTAGCGCTTCGTTCTACAAGATTTAATATTCGCACCACCTTAGCCTTTTTTTTTCATCCAGGCCCCCCCCTCCCCACCATTTCGCCAATTAAAATCGGGGTTCAGTGTACCCAGTGAAGTGTAGTGATGCTTGCAGCTTTGATACCGTCCTTGAACATGTCCTGTTAACTCGTGACGTTAATCTTATTGTTGGTGTTCAGTTGTTTTTTTTTTTTTGTTAACCTTTATGCCAGGTACTCAAGCTGTCGCCAGGTGCTGTAGTTTGAGTGGATTGGCCTGCCCCCACAAAACAGCCGGGCCTGCGGGCNGTTAATCTTATTGTTGGTGTTCGGTTGTTTTTTTTTTTTTGTTAACCTTTATGCCAGGTACTCAAGCTGTCGCCAGGTGCTGTAGTTTGAGTGGATTGGCCTGCACCTACAAAACAGCCGGGCCTGCGGGCACGGGGGTGGACGACCAAGTTCTTGTGCCGTGTGCTACTGATGGATATCCGTTAGGTATCTACCTGGACTTGATCTACACGTTTGGCCTAAAACACAATTTTTATAAGAAATTATTTTTGTTGTATTTATTTCCCTGAAATACAAACAAAGAAACATTGTTTTGAAATAGATCGTCCTTAACCCAGACAACTCAAACACAATCACTTTAAATAATAAATAACCAATAGTAAAGTGTAATGGATTTGAAACCAGTTATATACTGGCATTATTAAATGTGTTTGAGACACATGAATTCATACAGTTTAATAGTCCTGCAAAAAATAAATAAATAAAGACGTATTTTCTTGATGAGTATGTCTTTAACGACAAAGAGGAAAGTCTAATTCCTAATGTCATATCATACACAATGTGACGGGATAAGTTCATCACGACATTTTTTGTCCCCCAGGTTGCTCTGCCTATTCCTATGTGTCAGACTCTGACGGCTCCATCTTCACCAACAACTCGTGTATAGCACAAAATGACGACCCGCGTCCAGGTTTGTGATGGCAGAGTCGGGCAGCTCCTGTTTAAACTCTGTGGGGTTAATTTCAAAATTTCACTTATTGCTGAAGTTATAATACGGACCAAAATGCATTGGTATTGAATTCAATTTTTTTTTTTAAGAAAAAAGAAAAACTAGCTTTAGTGGCGCGGTATTAGAAGTGGCTAACCTTAGAATCTCTTTCCAGGTCCTTAGAAAACACAATTTATGTCCTGCTATTTAATATCTTTAAACCACTATTTTCACATCTTCTGACATCTCTTCTCACTAGAGTTTGCTTTGTAAATGTTTAGAGAGTTGTACCACTATTTTAAATTTCTTTTGTTTCATTTCCTGTAACTTTGTCATTCCTCTTATATTTTGATTCGACCAGGTGTATACTCGTGCGCCGCCTGCTGCAAAGGCGGCAACATCAAATGCACCACCGTCCACTCGGCGCCCAGCGGGCACGCCGTTGGTGCCAGAGCTACGGTCCAGTGTCCGGCCGGCCAGGTCATGACCGGATGTAACGTGTACACGCAGAACGCCAAGGCCGCTGGTGCTTTCATTGAAGGTAAACACAATTAATAGCGCTTTACTCCCCCAGGAGAACATTGATTAATAATACTTAGAGGACTAATAATACTTACAACTCTACAAAGTCTTACAGTAACAATGTATTTTAAACGTGTTGGTGACCGTGACGCATTTATTCCTATTCCATACAGTTGTGTCTGAAAGACTGGCCGAGGATATCTCGCCTAGAAGGATAGTATTTAGTTTGTTTAGATATATATTTCTACGGTGCGGTTTTACTGCATGCAGTCCGTGACCGAAATAGAGATCCATGTGAGCAAATGTACTACTTCTCAAATATACTACTTCTCAAATATACTACGTCTCAAATATACTACTTCTCAAATATACTACTTCTCAAATATACTACATCTCAAATATACTACTTCTCAAATATACTACTTCTCAAATATACTACTTCTCAAATATACTACTTCTCAAATATACTATTTCTCAAATATACTACTTCTCATATATAATAATTCTCAAATATCCTAGTTCTCAAATATACTAGTTCTCAAATTTACTAGTTGTAAAATATATTAATTCTCAAATATACTACTTCTCTAATATAATACTTCTCAATATACTACACCTCAATATACTACTCCTCAATATGCTACTTCTCAAATATACTTCTTCTCAAATACCCCTCTTCTCAAATATGCCACTTCTCAAATATGCTACTTCTCAAATATACTACTATTCAAATATACTGCTTCTCAAATATGCTACTTCTCAAATATGCTACTTCTCAAATATACTACTATTCAAATATACTGCTTCTCAAATATGCTACTTCTCAAATATGCTACTTCTCAAATATACTACTATTCAAATATACTGCTTCTCAAATATGCTACTTCTCAAATATGCTACTTCTCAAATATACTACTTCTCACCACCATTGTTATTCTACCGACTCTTTGCTTCTTGCGGCAACTTATCAATTCATTCAAACGTGTTTTAAAAAGAAAGATGTTTCCACGCCTCACTCATTACCTGCATGCCCCCCCCCCAACCCCAAGGCTGAAGGTTGGCTCCATCTGAAGTGTATAAATAAGTCATCTCCTCTCTGTTTGCAGCCACCAATGGCGTGGACCACTGCGTGGCCGTCAATGGTTACCCTAGATACGGTGCTGAGGCTGGAGTCCAGGCTTATGCCACATGTTGCCACGTGTAAACATTTTTTAAGGATATTTCTTGAGGTGAAAGTATATATCATTTTGTACATTGGAGACAAATAAATAAAAACACTGTGAAATGACACTTTTTGAGTTGAGTTATTCACTCGGTGAGGAGGTAATCACGTGACCTAAAGACTAAAGGGCTGAGTAAAAGTCAAGTCACGTGGTCACAAAATGTATCATACATTTTATATGGGAATTATATTGGGAAGAGACTTCAACTTCTTACCTCCTCTTGCCAGAGGCGTAGCGAGGGTGTTTGGCGCCCGGGGACAAGATCCATTTTAAAGCAACCCTTTTTCTTCTTTTCAACTCTCAAGCCCATTATTTTCATCAATAAAATAATATCAAAGCACATTGTGGCGCCCCTAACTAGCTGGCGCCCGGGGACATCTGTCACCCCTGCCCCCCTCGCTACGCCTCTGCCTCTTGCCCCTTCAGATTTCGCAGGAGCAGAAACTGAATATGTCTCGAAGGAAGTGACGTGGGGAAAATGCGTGGGGTGGGGGGTCATGCTCCCCACCCCCCTTTGACCTTTATGTTCCTTATACGGAGTTGCTGCATTATGTTCAAATTCTGATGTTTGTTGGGGGAGGGTGGGGGTGGGTGGGTGGGTCGAAATACCTTAGCTAAGCCTTTGTTTACCGGTATCGGGTATAACATAGATTCGGCCTGCACAACATACGGCCCGCCAGCACCCACTTTGCGACTCGCAAAGTAACGAAATATTCTTTATTATTATTATTTGCCTAACATTCCCCCCCCCTGTCCTATTTTCTTTTGGCCCGCTCAAAATGGTCATAAAGTATTACGGCCCGCCTTACATTTTGAGTTGTGCAGGCCTGACGTGGATAATGGAAATGCTTCAACTTGTGATTGCTGCCAGAAAAATCAATTTGAAACTAAACTTGTTCGCAAACAACAAATAGCTTATTTAACTATTTATATTTTGTTTATATTTTATAAATATGTTTGCTGACATGAAGCATTTCATAAAGCGAGAATTAAAAACCAAAAAAAGATTTCGTTGCACGTCTTGATGCTACATACAAATCTATGAGTCGCTCTGTATTTATATTGTCGTTTAACTGACTAATACGAGGTCTGTAAATGATAAATACAATTTAAAGGCAGTTTTACTAAACGATTTAAATGTATTATTATGACTAAAAGTAGAAATCTAAAAAACAAAACAAAACAAGGTGTTATTTTGATCAAATTGATTATAAAAGCAAAGTGCTATTTTTATCTAATAGATTATTACACAAGGTGCTAATTTGATCTAACCGATTTTTTTTTTAAACCGAAGGAAGAAACAAATTATCATATTAAATATTTTCCTGGTCTAATTAAGAAATGTTCAAGTTTTTCCTCATAAAAGGCAATAATTACTAGGCCTGAGACGTGTGCAGTTAGGTACACCCGGTCCGTGGCCGGGCATTTTGAGACAATACCCGGCGGGTGTGAGGTCGGGTCCCGGGTGTTTAAAAAAATTAGTAATCTTCTCATTTTTAAAAAGAAATAATGTGATCCAATCGAGAGGAAGAAATGAAAAGCGCATGTGTAGAACCAGTAGCGATCATGAAGGCATCAAAGTTGAAGGATTCAAAACACGTTAGCTCAATATTAGATTAATAATAAAATAATCCTAAACTCAACCTTTTCAATGCCTCGAACCTTTGAAAACATTTGCCAAGTTGTAGCGACCATCAACCAGAATTATAACTTAAAATTGAGAAATAGGTGTCGGGGGGGGGGATATCTTTGTAGTAGATAAGGTGTTTTGTGACTGTAATGTTGACAGGGTGGAGGTCAGCGTTCGCGTCCAAATGAAGAGTTTTTTTTTCTTCAAGGAAAGTAACTGACATAAAGCTTTCACCGCCCCGGATGGCACTAACCCTAGTTAGGCCACTGCATGCAATCCCTGAGGCTGCAGTGTCGGCGTCTGATGTTTAAGGAGCCGAAAGTTTTGTGCTGGGGAAAAAACTATGAAGCTAACAACTTTGAATACAGAGTGGACAGAAACCGAAACGTGGCAGAAAGGGGGGGGGCCTTCAAAACAACACAAGTGAAGGCTCTGATGTTAAATACGTTCAACCTGGAAATAACGAACCTTGAAATACCGCTGTCCCAGGCACGGAACGATTTTTTTTTATCAGCACTTACTGTAACTGCAACTAGCACCTTCCTCGCAACTTGAACCACTTTTACTTGGACCCCCAGCGTTTGCGTTATTTCCAGGTTTCACTCTAGAGCAGGCCTGCACAACTCATATTGTAAGGTGGGCCGTAATAGTTTATGAAAAAACTCGTGCGGGCCAAAAGATAATACGAAATGACTTGTGCAGGCCAAAAAGAAGTAGAACGGGGGGGAAAGCTATTAAGAAAATAATAAGAAAAACAATATATTTCGTTACTTCGCGGGCCACAAAGTGGGTGCTGGCGGGTCGCATGTGGGCTGCGGGCCGTATGTTGTGCAGGCCTGCTCTAAAGCACAATATTTTCAACGGTAGTTGACTAATGCATACAAACAACAATAAAATTATTCATTTAACAAACTGTACTTTTGAAACTGATAGTTACAATAATCCATCTTTTTAAAACTAACAAAGTTTTTTAACATGAAGCGGAAATTTAGATTAGTAAATGTATAATTGGACCTTAGGATTATAGTCCGAAAAAACTATCAAAGGTCAAAAATCTGTTTACAGTGATAAGTAAAGCTTATCTTACTTCAGCGGAATTATTTGTTTTCAGAAGTTCTTAAATTTACTTCAAGCCCTTTTCTTCTTCTCATATTCAATGAAGACACTTGCGGCCGAAACTTATTTCCATGAACGGAATGACCAACCCAAGAGTCTTCGAAGAAATTCATCAATGGCTGAAGAAGGTCTTCATTTGAGTTTTTAAAACATACATTGTTATAACGATCTTTAAACGCCTGAACGATATCTTGAACTGGAAGAGGTACGGTTATTGATGATTCCTCCCACCCCCCCCCCCTCCCTCCAAATGATTTATCCCCAGTAAGAGAAGCATCCTCTAATTCCAACATCCTCTAATTCCAACATCCTCTAATTCCAACATCCTCTAATTCTAACATCCTCTAATTCTAACATACTCTAATTCTAAGCTCCTCTAATTCTAACATCGTCTAATTCTAACATCCTCTAATTCTAACATCCTCTAATTCTAACATCCTCTAATTC